CCTGACCTCATCATGATCAGTGTATACTGAATTTGACCATCTGGTACATAATTAGAACGTTTAGGGGCAACTGTTGATGACTCCCTGAAGATTTGGACCATTTCATGTTTCTCTGAGAGCCCACAGTGATCTGAGTGGATATTAGTGCCTCTTCCTGTTCATTTCCTCAGTTTGTTCCTTTTGAAGGAAATATCCTGAGTAGTAAAAGAAGACTCTGACCTGAGTATTTACAATGTACCTTATGTTCTACCTATTTCTTTCAGCTAAGGACTGGACTACAGTGTTTCACCAAGAGTGGGAATGTAGCATATTTGTAGACACAGAGCATTATTTCATTCAAAGCTATCAGAAAAAAATATTTTTTTGTATTTAACTTTTAAAGATGATATTTCTTCTGTACAGATATGTAATTCTAGTTACCAATTATCTACTTTTCTGGCCTTTTTATTTCTAAATGGAACCACTCCATGGCACATTTAAAATTGCTTATACTGCTTATGTAGTCATCCACGCCAGTTCTGCTTGTAGAGAAATGTTCGAACACCTCCTGCTACATGTCATCAGCTTCCCCTTCAGAGTCTAAGAATCTTTTTTGCCGCATATTGGGAAACTGATAGATTCCAAAATAAATAATGCCATCGAAATATGAAAGCTTCCATAAATAATGGAATATAATGTGATACAGCACACAATTACATGTCTAGTATAAAACTTAAGATACTCCAAATACAACCACTTTCAAATTAAAAATAAATTTAAGAGACATTTATGTTAGCTTTACTTCCTGTCCAGTATAAACATAGTTTAGGAGAATGTCAAGAATTTTTTACACTGTATCCTGAGAATTCCACGTTTTTTCATCAAAGTGACTTTATAAAATAATGTTTACAGATCACACCATTTAAAAATAAAAATGGGAACACATTTTTATTTTTAAATTTATTTATGCATTTGCTCAGATCCCCACCTTATATTTTAGTTATTCATTTCTGTAGCTGTTCATTTCTGTACACTCATTAATTTTTAGTTCATATAAAATCAGTAAGATTGAATTAAACTCTAGTCAAGGATGATAGTGGGGATTCTGGCAGTATTTCTGGTCCCCAGTACTCTATGTAATGAAGAGAGAAATATCTTTCTTCTTTGCAAAGGATCCTGTTTCGCTTCACTGTCTGGTTCTATCTGGGACAGGAGCCCTTGTTTCCAGCCAAGGGCCGTTTATTGGTCCAGGCAGTTGCTAGTGTGTCAAATGCTGCCTTAGATTGAGCTACATAAATATTGTAAGTTCTACTCATTCTCAAACACCTGGTCCCTACTCAAATCAATTACCCAGTGAAATTGTCAAAGGCAGGGATTTTTTTTTTTTTTTGGGTAAAGAATCTATGAGCCTGAGCCTCAAGCAGCTTTCCTTTTATTAGGGATTGGTTTCACCCTGGTACATTCTTAGAAACAGAGAACTCTCCAGTTGTGTTCGTCCGTTCTTGCATTGCTATAAATATCCAAGACTGGGTAATTATAAGAAAAGAAGTTTAATTGGCTTGGGGTTCTCAGGCGGTGTAGAAAGTATAGCACTGGCATCTGATTCTTGGGAGGCTTCAGGAAGATTGCAATCATAGTGGAAGGTGATGGGGAAGCAGATGTCTCACATGGTGGGAGCAGGAGCAAAAGAAAGAGTGGGAGGGAGGTGCCAGACACAGTTAAATGACCATATCTCATGAGCACTCACTCACTGTGGCAAAGACAGCACCAAACCATAAGGGATCCACCCCTGTGACCCAAACACCTTCCGTGGGCCCCACCTCCAACACTGGAAATATTACAACTCCTCACAAGATTTGGTGGGGACAAATATCCAAACCATATCAGCAGTCTAAAATAACCAGACCATCAGTTACAGTCTTACCTCATTTTAAACACTGACTTATGAAAAGAGAAAGTTAAGATCACAAATCCACCTTTAGAATCTAATCCATCTAGAGTAGAAACACCAAATGTTTGTTCCAAACATGTGCAGTTGAGAACAACTAAAGGTCTTAGAAATTACAAATACTTTATAATAAAGTTATATTGTAATCCTTAGGCCTGGCCCTCCGTGTGGCCCATAGGTGGTACCCAGTAAAATAGCTGTGTTTGATTATATATCTTAGGGGTGCCGAAAAGAAAAGGCATTTAGAAAGTCTCCATTGCTTAGCTGACACAATATGCATAGGCAATTTTGACCACAGTTCTTCCTCAGTAAAATTCCCGACATTTGGATGATGAGGTACATATTCATAGTTGTTCTCACTCCCTTCCCCCAGCACAGCTTTCTAATCCTGCTGTAATTACCAGTTCGCTTATCAGAGTCTGCCTCAGACCTTAGTTCCTACCACAGGGTGGGGCACCGTTGTGTTTCTAGTTGGGACCCTGCCATGTACTTGGAATCAGATAACTATCATGCCCATTTCTAGAGGGGAACTGAGGTGCAGAGAGGATGAGGGACCATCATCCCGAGACCAAGTTTCAGAAGTAGGATCGGATTCCACACCTTCTCCTTCCTTCTTTCTGAATCTTGAAGTGAACATCACCTGGAATCCCATGTCCATTTTCTGCGACTACTTCAGGGAAGCAGATAAAGTTAGAGTGTGTCATGCTTGTGGATATTGTCACCCACTCTTCTTTGAAAACCTGATCGTTTACGTGATCCTAAAGGGTCCAAGTATAAATGGAGGTCTCCCTGGGCAACGCACATCGTCTCCTTCGCAGATGTGTGTGTGACTGCTGTGTGCCTCAAGTGACAGAAGTCCGGAGAGTTTCAAAGGAACTCTAATGATGATCCCTCAACAAGGTCATGCAATGTTTAAGAATGTTTTACCATTTACTGTTCCTTGTTGATTGAAGGAAAAAAGGTTAATTGCCCTCCCTCTTGCCTTTCCTCTTTCTCACCTCTGAGGACAGGGCCCATAGCTACTTAGAGACAGTACTTGGTAAAATTAGCTGTGGTGTTGACCTTTTGTTCTAACTGGTAAGGTGGGTCCAGGTTCCTCCTCAGGTACAGCCAGTGGATCTTCCCTTCTCAACAGGTATTATCCATTGCTAGTTGTTTAATGTCCCTGCGGTGGCATTCCCCTCTGATGAGGCTGCCGGTAGCTGCGGTATGCCTTCTAATCCCCAACTCGCAACACACACACACACACACACACACACACACACACAGTGCAGCAGCAGCAACAACAGATCGATTCCATGAGCGATCATGTCAGATCTGGAAAAGAGATGATATTCCTACTTGAAGCATGTCCTATTAAGCATAATATAGAAAGGATTAGGGCTTAGGCAGCAGAGTAAGAACTTGGTGGCTCAGTTGTGGCACGTGTAGGTCAAAGACAGTTCTTAACATTGCATGTCTTATAAGTAAAACCACTAGTTTACTTCTTTGCCTTTTCACCTTTAAATGGATAAACATACTACATATTTCATGAGATGTCTACATTTAAAGTAACTTGGAAATGGACTGTTAGTGAATTGAAAAGCCTTTAGCAAGGCACATAGTAAGGAATCCCCTTTTTAAGAATTTCTTGATGGTTTTTGACATCAGGGACAGCTAAACCAGGGTACCATTATGATAAACAATTAATTATTCTTGCTTTGGATGACCAGCCATGCAGTGAAAAATTAAGATGCTCTAACAGGCTTTGGAAAGTTCGTATCATGCCAAAATGCACACACAGCTAGATTGAAAGCAGCAATCTGAAACAAATTATATGTCCTTGTGTCCTCCGGAAGTCCCAGCTTTCATGCACACAGCTAACTAAGTTGGGACAGCTGGCCGAGAACCCTCTCTGCTTGGGAGAAAGGGAGCTTATTGCCCCCGTTTTCTTTATAGTCACGTAAGTGGGTTCCGTTGCATAATCATGGAATTCTCAGCCTCTTAAAATCTGTGTATGTGTGAAGTGCTCATTAGCGCAATGTGTCTCAGATGGATGTAATTATTGTAAAATGTCATGATTGCAGTCTAGAGTAGTGGTGATGAAAGTGGGCCCTAGATTGGCCTGAGTTTAAATCTTGGCTCTACTCGGTACCTCCCTCAAGTGAGCTTAGCCCACAATCTTGGGCCTCTCATCTGATAAATAGGGTTAATAATAGTTAATACCTCATGGGTGGGTTATGAGGATTGAATGAGTCAATTCATGTAAACTGGTTAATGTAGTTCTTGGCATATAATGAGTATCCAATAAATGCTAACTATAATTATGATTCTAATTATTTTATTACTGCTACTACTTCAAACACATGTTTTCTAAAGCCCCAGCTTAGTGCAAACAATAAGGCTTGTTCAGAGGTTTCTTCTGATTTACACATAAGAGAACTCATTTGAGAGATTCATTCTTTTCATGATGCCTCTTCCTCAGACCTCACTAGTCCGCCACTTCCCGGGCCATAAACATTTGTCAGAGCCAAGTTGATTAATCAAATGGGGCCTAAAGAAAATACTTGGGATTTGTTTTAATTGTGGTTTAAAGAGCTTTCCACGCTGCGCGGGCTTATAAAAGTGCCTAAAAGTTAAAAATGAAGTGAATTTGAATAAAATCTCCAGCTTTTGCAGCTTCATAAGTATAGCTGTCTGATAGTGTGTGAAGAAAAAAGTTTGTCAGATGGTCAAGACTTTTCAGAAGGCAATCTGGTTTACACTGATTTTTTTTTAAAGTCAGGATAATGTAATCAGTCCCTGTTTTCCCTTGTTCTTAAAAATTGGAAGGAACTTCAAAGCCAAACAACACTTCATAGTGCTTTGCCCTAACTCCTTGGAATGGTATACCTAAAGTAATGGTCTTTTTGTTACAAGAGAGGCTTAGCCTTTCTCTTTCAAAGGAAACCATCAGTTTTCTAAATAAGCCCTACTGGTTTGATGCTCTTTTCTCTGCTTGAAACACGTTTTCTGCCTCCTACCCAAGCTGGGTATTTGCAGTGGAGTGATTCTGGTTTCTCTTTGTTCTCCCTATCTGATGTGCCTTTGATAGCGGATGGTTTCTCGCTCTTTGGGCGCAAATCCAGATGACCTGAAGGACCCAATTAAAATTAGCATCCCACGCTACGTCCTCTGCGGGCAAGGAAAGGATGCACACTTTGAGTTTGAGGTCAAGGTGAGTGTCTTCTTTACTATCTGGAGAATGGAAGTTGGAGACTATGCAGTGCTTTCTCTGTCTTTAATTTCAAAAGGGGATGAAGCTGCATGTGAATGTCTTGTTTATGAAATATTGGGGCACACCCTTCTTTAAACCAGTCTGTAAAACTCTCGACTGTAACACATGGAAAGAAGTTACCTCATAAAAGGTGTTGGTAAGTCAGACAGAAATGCAATTCCTGTGACCCACGCCCTGCAGGTAGGAAGAACAACCATCCAGGTGCCCAGGGCTTGCCTGACATCTGCCCTTAAAGTTTCACACCTTGGGAAACCCCACAGTCCTGAGCAAACCAGGATAGTTGGTCACCCTCCCCATGGACTTACTCTTAGTTTTTCTTATTGATGAAAATGAGATGAATAATGTCTATGTCACAAGGATATCAGTGCATAGAAAGCTGCACCCTGTGGCTGTGTAAATCGTAGCTAATTGGTGCTATCACTACTGCTATTTCCATTGTTTCTATTATTCATTAGGAAGCCTTCCTCATTTGTTTCAGGTGTTACTTGATTTGTACAACTTTTCAGGAAGAGATGTGCCTGTTTTGTGACATCATGGTTTTCGGAATCATGACTTCATCTATTTGCTACTTTGCTTTCATTGACTCGTAACACTTTATTGAATGTTGCTGGCTGCCATCCTCTCCTCAGGGAAGTGATGATACATCACACTGCTTTGTTTTCAAGGATCAGTAAGGGTGCTGACGTAATGAAGTCCACTAGGATCACCAGTGTATGCATGCATAAGGCTGTTCTTGGAGGTTGTAGGTGGTTTTGTTCAGATAAACACCAGACCATGAATCTGGATGTTGAGTTCCACAGACTCTGACCCCACTGCAGTTTGCAGAGTGGCCCCAAGTCATCTGAGCCTCAGTTTCCCCATTGGTACAATGAGGAAATTGGACAGTACCAGTGGGCTCCACATTTTGTCTTATCTGAGAAACCCCTTTGTTCAAAGAATGTCTTATGTGGAAGGACACAGTAAAAGGCAGGGAAGCCTGGAGCTGCTGGGTAGGCAGGGAGTAGGGAGGGAAGAAGGAGCCTGAAGCCAGCCCTCCCCATGCCTGTCCCACCCCTGATGCATCTCAGGGCAGCCCTGGGCTCTGGAGAATCCCTCCCATCAGATGTTGCTTCCTTTCTAGCCTTCTGAGGAATAATGTAAATATGTTCTTTTCTAGCTAATCAGATTTTTAGGATTTTATTTCTATATACTAAGTTTTCCTTTAGAAAAGAAAAAACAAACACGGCATCAGTTGATCTATTTGAGGTTTCTATTGAGAAAGCATGATGCCTGTGTGTTGTTGCTGTTATTCTTTACTGATCAGATTACGTGGGTTCTTATTTAAATGTCACGCTATGTCCTTGATCCACTGCTTCCCACTGCCCTTGACCTAATATCTAATTCCTGGTCAATTTATTTTTCATTTGTTCTCAATCATTCTAAATTGTGTGTGCCTGTGTGTGTGCCTGTGTGTGTGTGTGTGTGTGTGTGTGTGTAGAATTCCATTTGTGCATATATGCGATTATACTTAAATATAAAAATAATTTCTGAAGTTGTGTTTGTACTATGTCCATGTTTCACAGCCAAGCTCACAGTGAAGACTGCTTCCATTAGCTCAGAATTAGAATTCTCCAGCACATAGAACTCAGCAGTGAAGGACATGCAATGATTTTAGTTGGTACATGGATTTATTGTACTTTAACAGATAAATGTGTTAATAAAATGTAACTGTCAAATCAATTTTATGTATAGAACTCAGATAAAGAAGATAATTTTTTTAAAACTGCATTGATTTAAATAAAAATGACAAGCAAATAATAGTCAGGTGTGCAGATTTGGCCAAAATTGTGAAGATGCTGCCGTCCATGCACGTTAGAGAAACCAAATACAGAAAATTATATGAGGCCTTATGGAACCTAGGCGATCACTTCAAGATGCATAAAACCCACATCCACAGAGCTCTTTCTTTGCATCTGTCAAAGCAAGTTCGGAAGAGTGTCATTGTTCTGCTTCCTTTCCCCGCTCGTCCTAGGTGCTGTGATTGTGAGCACCAGGAATGTGTTAGCAGCAACCGGGGAATGTCTAGTTCTCCATGTAGGCAGGGCCTCCTGATGCCTTTACAGGTAGGTGTGTGGAAACCCTCCACCTCATGTGGATACCCTGTCATGGGGTAGGATGAGAAACAGACATGATGTGAATATACCAGGCCTTCCCCGAACAAAACAGCAGAAACGGCCTTGCTGCAGGCAGAGACGTAGCTGTTAAATAGCACAGCCCTGCAACCCTCCTATCCTGACCATCTCCAGGCCACCTCAACAAGTCACAGCCTCACTGTGCCTCATCTGTAACATGGGAATCATAAAACCCACCCCACTGGGTTGGTGTGAGGAGTGGATGCGTTTGTATATATAAAGTGCTTGAAACAGTTCCTGCCACCTACTAAGTGTTGGATAAGCGTTCGTAATTAAAAAGCAATAAAAATAAAAAGGGAATGAGTGAGATTTTACTGTGAGGTCCTCTTAATGACTTTTGATGTACGTTTACGTTTTTATGAGAGTTTTGGATCTTGTTGGGATTTTTTCTCTTTTTGGTTACTTGCTCGCCCTCAGCATTTGGAATTTAAAATTTAGATTGCTGACCTTTTCTGTCAGTCATTTGGACATTTCATGCATAGAGCCTGTTTTCTAGACAAATAGTCATGCTTATGATAATGTGTGGTAATATTTTGGCTACTGCTAAATTCTTCACTTGGTGAACCAATGGCTTTTTAAGAAGGCTAAGGTAAAAAGTATGATTTTTAACAGAGACTATTCTCTTTTGTTCTAAGCTTTTTTTGAAGACAATTTTAACATTATGTACATACATAGATATTTTATATTATTGCACTTTATAATTTAGAAAAATCTTTGCTGCATCTCTTTTAAAAAATCCGTTTTTGTCAGCACTTTGGGAGGCCAAGGCAGGTGGATCACCTGAGGTCAGGAGTTCAAGACCAGCCTGGCCAACATGGTGAAACCCCATCTCTACTAAAAATACAAAAAATTAGCCAGGCGTGGTGGCAGGCACCTGTAATCCCAGCTACTCCAGAGACAGGCAGGAGAATCGCGTGAACTCAGGAAGCAGAGGTTGCAGTCAGTCAAGATCGTGCCATTGTACTCCAGCCTGGATGACAAGAGCAAAACGCCGTCTCAAAAAAAAAATCAGTTTTGGTTTTTCATCATCTCCCATGATGATCCTGAGTGCACGCAGTGAGATGCTATGCCCTCTGTGACCAGTAGGGCAGAGGCTGACACCCGCTGGTGTAAGGTCCCTGTTCGCTGTATAGCTTCTGGTGTTACTGCCAGCTTATTTAGGGTCCCAACTGATTTGTGTGGCCACGCCAGGGCCCACGTGGTGTGAGGCCTGAGGGGCCCCAGGACGGAGACAGCTCACCGGGGTGTGGCTGCCCAGGCTCTCCTTCCTCATCTTCCCTTTGCCCTCCTCACCTGCTTTGCTTCCTGCCATTTTCTGCCCACCTTTTTAAGGTAGGACTCATCAGTCATTGAAATCATTCCTTCTTCCTGGCCATTTTCATTTTAATCCCCAGTTTGGGAGCTCCAATTTGGCCTGCCCATTGCCACGTGAAGTAGTCAGGAGCCTGTTCAGGGACTGTTCCAGGGAGGACACATGGCTCGCGATTTCGAGGTGGGGCAGGAAGTCAGCGGGGGTTCCCAGATGCCCATCTTCTGTCCCCTACTGTGTCCTGAGGAGGTTTCCACCACTGATCTTTAAAATGAGAATAATAGAGCTTTTCATTAAACTAAAATATATTTAATTCAAACGGACTGTCTTCTATACCTGCTTTATTTGGGGGAATTAAAAACAACTCTTTTAAGACAAAGCTGTGAGGATATATAAGTAGACAGGTTTTTGTTGTTTGGTCTCATTTAGTTTTTTTAAATCAACTCTGTTGAGGCATAATTTACATACAATGCAAGCACACATTTTAAGTGTAGTTGGATGAGCGTTGATTTATGTATACACCCAGTAACTAGCCCCCAGTCAGGATTTGGAACTTTGCAGGCACTCCAGAAGTTCCTGGTGCCCCTTTGCAGTCAGTGCCCATGTTCCAGCACCAAGGCAAGCACTGATCTGCCCTCTGCGCCTACTGATTAGTCGTGTCTGTTCTGACACCACCATGGAGATCAGACGGCATTTATCTTCTGTGTCTGGCTGCATTCATTGAATGTGGTGTTTTGGAGATCTGCCCATGTAGCTGAGTGTAACAGTCATTTGTTTCTTTTTATTAATAGCATCCCATTGTATGGATTTTTCACAATGTGTGTATTCATTTCTCTTCTGTTGGTGTTTTAATGTTCTTACCTGATGATACAGAAGGTTATCGTCTTCATATTGCCCCTCTCCCCACTTTGTTTTATGCCTCCCAGGAACCCCTGGATCAGAGTTACCAGTTCCTGTTACCCTTGAAGCTATACCTTCCAGCGGGTCCTAGTAGCACATCCGTCTGGGACTGTCCACAGATGCATGTCCTGCTGACTGGTGGCAGACAGAGATGGGGTGGGGAAACTGAAGCAGTGCCAGTCTGGCTTCTCTCTGAGAACAGCACATTCTGGGCTGAAAATTGCTGTGTGTCACCTGCTGGTCAGCAGAATGAAGCTGTAAAATTTGTGCCTGTGCTCAGCTGCACCTGCCGCAAGTAATGCCACTAACTGGATGACAGCAGTCATCTTATAACCCCGCTTCACATGCCTCTCAGTCACTGACACGTGGCATCCATTACGCTGCATTATGCTTGCCATTTTCAGTTAGTTAGGACCAGAGTGGGTAAAATTTAATTTTGAAATCACATTTCAGCATAGCACAAAACACGGGCCTAAGAAACTGATGGTTAAGATAAGCAGAGACTCTGACACTCATATCATAGAAATAAGCTGGTGTTTCCAGCATTGTCTGAAATCCCTTGCATTTTAACTTACATATCAACACGGTAACATAAAGAAATAAGCCAATATTGGTATGCTTATATTTTAATATTCTGTTTCCCAAGAGTTTCTATTCTTGTAAAATCTGGAAGTAATCTGCAGGAGAGTTTGTTGTCTCATCTTTTTTCTGAGTGGTCATCTGCAGTAGTGCCCGCTGTCCTGTTCTCCATCCTATCACCAGGGTGACTCCCTTCTTTCACAGCCAAGCTCACAGCTCACAGTCATGTTGCTTTCAGTCATTGTTGTTTGCTGGTCTTCCCCTGTGGATGCAAGTTCCCAGGGCCCTTGTCAGTCTTGTGTGACACAGACCTCCCCAGTGCCCACCCCATGCCTGACTGGTACCAGTCACCCAGCAGATCACCCAGCAGCATGATGCATGGTAGCCTGGCCACAGGTGCTCTCGTTAGGCACAGCATATCTGGAGCTTTGGTGATGACCGAGTGACCATTTGTCCTTTGTAAACCTCCCTCCGCCCCCACCCAGCTCCTCATGCTTCATCCACACTGATAGAGTCAGTCACTGATGAGCCATTCTGCCCCTTGCTCATCCTCGTGATGTGACTGGTGGCTCTTAGTCATGCAGAAGAGTGGGGGCAAGTGGAGCTTCTTGATTGTGTCCGGGTCCAAGCGTGCCAAAGCCTCCCGTCTCCCTTCCTCCCTGCCTTCCCTCCCACCTTCTCAGCACCACCCTCCAGTGCTCCAGCACACCCATGACCTGGCTCTGGGCTGAGTTCAGTACCTGCAGGGAACATCTGTTGTGTCTTGGCTTTCTCTAAGAGAGAGGTAGACCTCTATGTTTCCTGCACATCCTCTGGACATTGTCTTGGCTGCCTGGGGACTCTCCAGCCCCTTGCTTAGAGAAGCACATGTCCCATTGTCTCCTCTAAGGAGCCTTCTGCATTCCAGCTACACTCCCAGGTACCTGCCTTTTCTCACATGGTTACAGGGCATCAGCCCTATTGACCAGCATTACTTTGGTCTACTTGGGAGACCCAAGAAATGCAGGACTACACACAGCCAGCTTAGGTCACACACATGATATCTAGGACAAAAGATTTCCTGATTTTAATCGTCTGGGTTTTGTTTAGGTACCATAGTAACAGTCTTCTCTTGTCTCATTCTGCTCTGACTCCTGGTTGGTGGCCTGAGAAGGAGGGAGAAGCAGAGAAAACACGAGTAATGAATGATGATGAGGATGTATAACCTCACGGAAGTGTTCCAGGGAGAACTTGCAGACCATCTGCGAATAATTATCAAGTACCCCCGTCAGTGGCAGCCATTCTCCTTTCACTGAGCTTCCCCTTCTAATTTCAGTCACTCTGGCCTTAGACACTTAGGGCCAAGAGATCTCATCTGCTGGGTCCTCCCTGAACCTAAAAGACCCTGAAGCGAGACATGGTAAATTGCAAAACTGCAGGGCAGCAGTTCAAATTGGATCTTGCTTTTACAACTGAAGAACCACGTGGCAGGCACTGTGGGGCCAGGGACTGACAAAGTCATGGAGCAGTATTAACCCGAAGCAGCAGGTGCAGACTGGTGGTGGAGGATGTGGGGTTTTATTGGCCCGAACAGATTTTTTAAATTTTGCATGAACTGTCAGTATTTGGGAGACCAGACATAGAAACACAGATTTGCCAGGATCCTGTGAAAAGTCAGTAGAAGCAGGAACTGGGGCCGACATTCCTGCAAGGCAGCACTCTCAGGGCAGAACAGCAGCTCCTCTTAGGGCAGGTGTGTGGTCTCCACTTGGTCATAGAACTTGGGATTTCTTGTCATGGAAAATCACCTTGATGATGTGGTAGCCTCCAGGGACCCTCAGAGTCCAACTGCACCATACGGAAAGGCTCATAGAGCATTCAAAAGCACACAGACACCTAGAGGAAGGAGGGGTAGGTGGTACCCTGAGGGTGGGCAAGCAGGTGAGCCAAGTGTTCTATCTGACCCCTGGTCACAACTAGTTCACCTGTCCTCTCTCTGTCATCTCAGCCTTTCCTACTTACTATGTGCTTACAAGGACCAGAGTGGAGTTTTGGACAAGGAACCATGGCAGACAAAGGGTGCCCAGAGCCACTGCACCATCTCCATGAAAGGAAGCAGGCACAGGCACACATGGCCAGCCACCTGCGGTGAGCAACCCTGGGTTTCACCTGTACTTCTCCAGTAGAGCACATGTGGTACCAGGATGGGACCAGGCTGGTTGTCATCAAGGGTGGTCAGTTCAGGGGGTACTTAGCTGTCATCCTGGAGGATGCTTGTCAAGATGTAGCATTTCCCTCCCTTTCTGTCCCTAACATTCTCGTCTGTTCCATCATGTTTCTTTGTTTTTGTTTTCATTTTTTTTTGAGACGGAGTTTTGCTCTTGTTACCCAGCCTGGAGTGCAATGGCGCGATCTCGGCTCACCGCAACCTCCGCCTCCTGGGTTCAGGCAATTCTCCTGCCTCAGCTTCCTGAGTAGCTGGGATTACAGGCACGCTCCACCACGCCCAGCTAATTTTTTGTATTTTTAGTAGAGATGGGGTTTCACCATGTTGACCAGGATGGTCTCAATCTCTTGACCTCCTGATCTACCCTCCTTGGCCTCCCAATGTGCTGGGATTACGGGCGTGAGCCACCACGCCCGGCCTCTGTTTTTTTTTTTTTAATTATTCTGTCATTGGCATGTCTTACAGATTATCAACCTGTGGCCTATGTTTAACACGTCTTGCACGCCTTAGGAATTTTGTTGTACCTCACAGGCTACTTGCTGACTGGCCTAAATCTGTTTTGACACATCCTGTGAGGTGTGCCTATACCTCATGAGCGTCTAACTTATTTACTAGCTATGTTTAACACTAATTGGCTGCATCCATCCTCTGGAGCACATTGGATGTTCTCAGATAGTACAGTAGACTCACGCTGTGCTCTCTCTTACCATCCACACCCTGGACCTCACCATATTTTGTCCCTGACTAACCTCTGTCTATAGGCAATTGCAGCTCTTCAAGGAAAGAAGCTAACATCTATCAAGCGTTTTTTCTTTACCCCAGGCATTTTGCTAGACATTTCCACAAATTTGGAGAATGTACTAAAATGGGGTATATTCATATTTCACAAGTTAGGGAATTAATGAATGACTTGCCCAAGGCCACACAGTCAGTAGATCCAGATACCTACTGTTCGTGTCAGGTCTAAGTGGGTTGAGTCATACTTGTTCCCTTACTTACTCATTTTAATGTACCTTCCAGATATCACTGCTTTCTATACATTTATAAGATGAGGCTGCAATTTAGTATTGCCCTGGACATAGTGACCATTTTCAAATCCTTTCCTGTTTTCAAAATCTGTTATCTTTGTGTACGTTTTAACTTTTTGCCTTGAATTCTGACCAAGTCATGGGCATTTTGTAAATTGGGGCTATGGTTGAGGCTTTGGTAAACCTGAAGAATTTTATGGTAGATAGGCCTGCCAGGAAGTATGAAGAAGAAATGCCCAAAAAAGTACAGTTTGGGAGTTGAAACAATCACACTTGCAGTCAGAGAAATTTCTCTTTACTTGGCAGGACAGACATAAGAGCCATTCCAGTCTATTAGATAAACTATGTACAGACATATCTTTTGGAAATACTCCCTACTTGATAAAATATAGATGTTCAGTAAGTGCAGAATGTTGGCATCTGAATCTATGCTCATTAGTAACTTATGGATTGTCTCCCTACACGTATATTAGCACAGCTGAGACAAATGGAGTGTTGCTTGTGCCGTGTCCATCTAGATTTAAATCTTCAGATTCTGTACTATTTTTAAACAGAAATAGCAAGTGAAAGTAATTACATTAAGACTTGAAGAGTCACATTTTAGCCTAAGATTTTTTAAGATTTGTCACCCTCCCATCTTTTTGCAAACTTTCAGTCTTCTACTGAAAAGTGAAAAAAAAAATTTTATTTCTTCCCCAGTTTTCACACAAACCAACTGATCTTTTATATTGCCCTTCCTTGCAAGGACAGCCATATTTATCTTCACAAAGTAAAGGGTGTCTATGTAAGAAATGACTTAGAAAAAATGAGATTGGGTTGCAGGCATAGAAGAAAAGCAGTCATCACTTTACGGTCATGCCTTAAATTTCTATTTCACCCAAATTTCTGTTTTTCCATTATAAGACTATATTAATATTCCTCCTTCCTTAGTTTCCAAATTTGGGGAGTTTTGCATCTCTTCCTAGAATGAAATTTATTTTAAAAATCACAAAATTGTTTGAACTTTCCTTTTTACAGTTGCTACCCGCAAAGACACTTACATTTCAATAGTGGATAGTATAATACCTTTTTAAGAATCAGATCACAGGGCCAGGAGTCACTGTCTATGGAGTGTCCCAGCACTGCCTACGCTCTTCACATTTTTTTAGTTCATCTGCAGATTAAGTATCAGTAGTGCATTTTACAGATAAAGAAATCAGGACCTGAAAGAATTTAGTAATTTATCCCAAATCACACAATTAATACATTACTGGGCTAAAGTCAGTAACCAAGTCAGAGTTAATTCAGCGCTTTTCATTATTTTATTCTCCCATGGTGGCTGGTGGAGAGTTTACATTCCTTGTTTTGCCTCCAAATATCTGGGTAATTTAAAGGAAAATTGCTTAGACTGTCGTTCTTGCAATTTCCCAGCATGCTAAAGTACAATAACTCCCTCTATTCCTCACCTGCTCCACAGAGGTGTTGGCAGAAGGGGAAGCACTTTGTCAGTAACAATCTTGGATTTAAAGGCCTCCATCTTCCAGAATCTCAGGGCCTTCACATATTCTATCAAATTTACCTTCAAACTACCCTGTGAAGTAAGTATACTAAAGTAAGGGGTATTTCAGCCTATTTTGAAGCTGCTGAAGTTAAAGCATGGGGGAGTCATTATTTCTGGTTATTGCAGAAGGCAGGATTTGGGCCAGCTGGAAAGCCCTGTTGGCCTTAGCAGCACTTCTTAGCTATCTCGAGTGTGGGGAGTCAATCACTAGGCTCATTGCTTCCTAGCACACCTGGTTTGGACTAGGTTCACAAGCCTGAGGCTCTGAGGCACTTTCTGTACTCGTCGGTGATGCACCTGCGTGGAAGGGTGTCTGAGATTTTCCTGCATCAGTTGGCTGTAGAATCTCCTATTTGCATGGCTCTCCTACTTTCAGGAATCATCACTCTCCAAGCTCCATATGCCTCCCATTTGTGTTACCACAGATGGGCAGATCGAAGTCTGGCATTAGACTGCCCTTTCCGTGTGCAGTGTACCATCTTTAGAACCAGGCCTTTCCTGCAGCGGCCCAGCTTCTTCCCTCAAGTGCCTTTGAGAAAGAATTTCTGCAGTTGGTCAAGCTTCAGGGTCACAGGGCCCACTGCAATGGAGAGGGGAAGCCTGCTTGGATTAGGAACTGCTTGCACACTTGCTAATCTGACATGGTCCAGATGGCAGCTGTTCCCTTGCCTTGTGTCCCTGGATGGCTGCTGACCAAGTCTCTTTGCCTTTGCCCCCACCTTGCTGCAGAGCTCTGCCCTTCTTTGGGTTCCCTAGAAGAAGCCTGTGAATATTCCCAAAGTGTCCCGAATGGAGCCAAAGGAGGGGATACATTGCATATCTCAGAGCAAATAACTTAAAATACCCCAATAGACTACTGTGTTCTCCCAAGAGTACCAGCCTTTCCATTCCTCCTGCCTGGATATTCCTGGGAGCTCCAAGTGCTGCCGCCTTACTAAGCCTAGGAATTCAGCTCCAGCCTCATTGCTCAGCCTTTATCCCCAGACTGGTAGGTTAACAGGACCCACCCTCCGGAAGGCAACTTAGAGACGTATTTGTTGTTTCTTAATGTGTCTTTTAGGAGCCTCATACCTACCTACCCCAAAATTGTTTATCACAGTATTTTTTCTAAATTAATGTTCTCTTTAAATGGAATTTGGTAAATGAGATTTTCTTTTTCTTTGCTTTACAATATGCCCTCTTACTTATGTCCCTTAATGTCTACTTTCTAAAACCTTTAAACAGTTACAGATAAGTCAGAAAAGGACTATAATGCAGGTCAGTCTGCTGCCCACAGTTCAGAATGAAAAAGTAATTAGAAAATGTAATAGAAAGATGCATATTGAAAAGAGGCTGTGAGTGCCATGATCTCCGTTATTTATTCTCTTATTAACAAATATTTGGTACCGGTAATATAATTTTTTAAACACCATACTAAAAGCATCATGTTACTGAGGAATAGAAAAGATGAATAAGCAGTTCATCCTTTCAGGAGACAACTCAGTGTGGGAATGAAACACATGAGAAAAATAGAGTAGCACGGAGCCAGCGGGCTCATGGAGGCATAATCGGAAACGTCACGGCAGCTGTACACGTTCGCTGGCTTGAGACCGATGGGTGGATTTCAGTGAGTGCAGATGAGAGAGGAGGTATTCTGGGCAATGGAAACAACAAAGACAGAGGCCTGAGGGTAGAAAAGGACGAGTGATGAGTTGGTAATAGGAAGCAGTACAGAAGGAGGCTAGCCTCGAAAAGGGGCCCTCCTCTCACTTCTACAAACGAATCAGGAAAATTAAGTGAGGATGGAGAGGTTTTGAAGGAAGGAAAATGAATGTAGTGACAGCATCATTTTGCAATGTGCTGAAAGGGTACTCAGGGAGTTGATCTTAGGTGACTGTAATCACCTCAGTAAACCAAGATCACTGTGAAGATTGAAAAATCTAGAACATTTTGAATTGCTCGTCACAGAGAATAGAATTTCGAAGAATTTCCAAGTAGGAGTGACTGCTGAGCTAAAATGGCATACCTGTATTGTAAATCCATTCTGCTCTCCTAGGGGGCCATCTTCAGCAGTGCAGGGCAGCACCCAGGAGAGCAGATAGACACCACAGGCACTCAGTTTGGGGGATTGTTCGGATGGGCCCCACCAGAAGGCCTAGGGAGTCAGGGATTTTGAGGTGCCGGTCTCCCAGTGACAGGAGGACTGACCTGGTGTCCAGCATCGGTAATTGATCTGAGAGGAAGGAAGTAAGCTAGGAAACCAGGAAGAGGTCACAGTGAAGACAGTGAGGCAGAGTCCGCATCTATGGGGCATGCATGCCCACAGAAATCAGAAAGCACTGGCACTGTCTGTCCTCAGAAAGATTTGGGGATGGCAGAGGCAGATCACAATGAGGAGCAATCAGATGGCAGCCTATAATCTCTCTGGGATATTGCTGTGATTAATGGGGCGTTGGTTCTTTTACCACTTCTGGCTAGTACCATTTGCATCAGTTGTCTGAGAGATTTTAATTAAATCTAATGCACTACTGCTTGTTACTATACAGATCCATACATTTGGAATATATTTCATGTTTTCTCAAACATCATCATAGTTATGTTGCTGCGTAAGACGTTCAGTAGAATTAGTTAATGAATTAGACTCTGCTCTCTTGGAAACAATGAGGCCTTTCTGCACGTATCTTTTACCAGCCACAGCTTAGAGTAGCAGAGCCTAAACTTTAAAAATCACACATAGCTAGCAATCACTGAAAAAGTTATTGAGCTGGCACACCCATGATATTGATTTTTATCTATTTAGATAGCATAGCATTTACTAACCATACATACTGTTTATTAGAACACACTTTCAGAAGTAGAGATGTAGAAAGAATAAGATTAAAAAAAAGAGAGAGAGAGAGAAATGGAAGTACCAGTAGTTTCTTTCTCTACCCCGTGGAGCATCTTGTCTCTTCCACTGTGAGGCACACCAGCTGGGAGAGTGTGTATTAGTTTTCATTTTCTGTAGTATGCAAGGAGATTTTAATTAAACCTTATGCACTAACGCTTGGTGCTGTGACACATCGGCATGTTCATTAGGAATATATTTCCCGTTTGCTCAGACATGTTCATCGTATGTCACTGCCTAAACTTTATTTTGCAAAAATTGGACAAAACCTTTTTTAGTATGTATTAGGTTAATATTAGACCATTTCTTCTATACAGTTACAAATTACAAGGATTTTTTTTTAATGTTTGAGGTAGCTCCCCTATGTGTTGTTTAAAAAAAATTACTGAAGAGAACTCTATAAGTAACTGTTTAAAGGGAGCCAGTTGGAGTATGATTCCTTGAATGAAAAACTGTTGGTTCTCCTCTGTACACCGCTAGATATACATAACCAAAGATCTACTGATGACACATCTTAACACTGACAGTCCTTAAACCAGCAAAGTAAGTATATAACATAAATTTTTGGGAAGCACTCAATTGAGAATTGTTTATAAGTAAGTGCAGTCCATCTCGAGGACATGTTTATGGTGCTTAAGTTGCGCCTGATCATTTTATGGCCCAGGAAAGAAGGATTTGTATCAGTGAGATCATTCAGAGGGAGAGAAGTAATGAATTTGCTCCTCAAATATATGCAGTAATGACACCTTGCGTTCTCAACATTAAATAAAATCATTAAGTGTTTTGGTCTGACGTATTTGTTGGACTGATCTTCTGTTCTCCTCTCTGCATCAGCACCCCATTCCATACCCAATTTTAATTTGGAACAGAAGGGTTTAATTTTGTCTCTTCATTTTGCCTTTCTGTATATTTTTTCTCAAGCTTCCTATGAACTCTAGGCATGGGGTCTTTCTATTCAAGGGAAACGATTTAACCATTTTTCTGTGGGGTGATCATACATGCAGTTGCCTTGCCTACCACTTCTGAGATGACTGCTGGTGATATTTATCTTCATCATCTTCATCTTGTTTCATTGATAGATGGGGGATATTCAAATGTATTATCTATACATTGGGAAGCTTAAGCCTTGCTAGTCCCTATATTTAGCCTGAATTCAGGTGGAAATCACAAGAATGAAGAATGTTTAAATCTCCCATGCCTTACTAGGAGCTCCTGTTACAAATATATTGAGAACGCACCATATTCTCTGCAGTTTTTTAAAAAGTCATAGTATTGGAACTAATTCAATAATCTTTGATTCATGTGAACCTTAATGAAACCACCAGAACAGAATAACAGCATCCAAGACTCCAGTAGGCTATGAGTTCTATTTTTCCAACTGAGGTCAAGCCTGAACTCTTACTAATTTGAAAAGTAAAATAACCTCAAATATGTCTCTCAGAAAAATACTGATGTCTGTAAAAATTTCTGATGTCTCTCAGAAAAAAACTCTTACTAATTTGAAAAGTAAAATAACCTCAAATATGTCTCTCTGAAAAATACTGGCATCTAATTTGGTACAAGCCACATGGTGGATGCTCAGTAAATGTGTATCTCTACAATGCAAGTCCACCCAGCCCACCCCAGTTACTACCAAAGACAAATGGCTTATTCCCTTAGAAGGCTTAAAATCTCATAATTAGAGATATATATAAATAATGGTAGTGATATAAATCAAGTAGTACAACATTATGTAACCCTGTGCTGTGTGTTCTAATCATGGTGTGAACTAAAAGGAATCATGGAGGGGATGGAATAAGTGATTCTTCCAGGGAGAAGGGAGTGGGAATGAGGCTGCTGCTCAGGGAAAAATTGTGGTTTGGACAATTTTTCTGCACCTGGGGGCCGAGCAGGTGCAGAAACAGGTGTGTGGTTGAGGAGGCCGTTGAGAAGACCCTTCAGAAGACCTATGAATATGCCCTATTTCTTTATTGACACGTTGTCTGGAGTGTGAGATTTTTAGTTCTCTGGGGGCTGGGATTGCCTAGGAAAGTCCCTAAATACTGCGTAAGGGCTTTGGCCTGGGAGGGTAGTAGGACATCTAATTTTGGAGGGACATGACCAGTGGTTTACAGCCAGGCTGCTCGCACCTTAACCTGCATTGCGTCCGCTGCATTGCATCAGAACAGACT